TCTTGATTGGCAACTTAAGAATTTCTTGCGAGCAGTAATCCCTGAAAAGGAAATGGTGACAGCACATCTTGCAGGCTCAGTTTTTCCATCACTCGAAAGATGAAGCGCTAGTGGTTTGTGTCTGCATCTCTTGGTCTTTGGCAAGAGTCATTGTCCAGTGACTGATACTGTCATCCTCGGTCTGGGAGGCCAGAGGCCTGGTTGGGTCAGTAGGTGTTGCTCCGAGGGAAGCTGGTGTCTGGTGACCTGAGTCTCCAGTTCATCAGTAGGTTTTTGTTCAGGGGAGAGCAATCCGACCGGGGGAGTCTGGGGTGGGGTGGTTTTGTACAAATCCAGCTGCTCCTGGAGTCCTTCCTTCTGGGGGTCGGTTAGACAAGCCGCTTGCTTGTCTGGGAAGGGTGCTGTGGTTTCTCTTCCCAGTAGTTCTTTGGGGAAGCATGTTCTATAATACTATAGAAGAAAGAAATGGTGGAACCTGGAGAGGAACTAGGCACTTCCTGAAAAGAAAGTCATTTAGTAGGAATCTTCTTTGCTGGCCTCGGAGCTGTCCAGACCAAGGTGTTGAAACGTCCTGGGAGCAGAGCCGAGGCCGTGTTTGCCTATGGGTTGTGATATCCCAAGGGCCTCCTTAGTGCCTTTCTGTTTGTCTGTTGGCTTAGGCCATGGGAAAATGAAGGTCGATTCCTTGACGGTCTACCACTGGCTGGCCTGAAGGTCACCTGCTATTTGTTTTAGTGCTTGTGTGTAGGACTGGTGGGCAGCTAGGTGGTGCTGAAGTGCCTGGAGTGCCAGACTTAGAGTCAGAATGACTCGTCTTCTTAGATCATTCTGATGTCATCCTTTCAGCCATGTGGGGACAGATGTAACTATTTTACTTACCACAGGATGGGAGTTTCTTTCGGAAAAAAATGACCACAAATATTTAAATGTATAAATGATATTTCAAATTCTGGGCATATTATTTAATTCAAAAGTAAAGTGTTGTATTGGTGAAATAGTTCGTGAAAATTTAGTTTTGGTTTTAGTTTAAAAAAAAAAGGCCACCAAAAATATTCTGCAAGAAAAACCTGGGAAGATTTATATGAACTCATAAAAAGTGAAGTGAGCAGAACCTGGGGGAGATTGTGCACAGCAATATTGTAAAGATGATCAACTGTGAAAGATTTAGCTACTCTAATTTAAAAAATGATCCAAGACAATTCCAAAGGATCGATGATGAAAAATATCCACCAAATGCTGACTGAAACGTACTTTTTACTTTCTTTTTAAAAAAAAAAAAAAACTTGTCTTCCTGAGTTCAAGTCTGGCCTCAGACACTAACTAGCTGTGTGACTCTGGGTGACTAACTTGACCCTATTTGCCTCAGTTTCCTCATCTGTAAGGTGAGTTGGAGAAGGAAATGGCAAACCCTTCCTGTATCTTTGCCAAGAAAGCCCCAGATGGGGTCAGGAACTGTCAGAGTGAAAGGACTGAACAACAGCAGAAGCCCCAGGCATGGCCCTTAGGCTTTGAAATAGAAATGGTGACGTGAGCTTCTTGTCCATTCTGCGGGCTGGTCTAGGATGTGAGATTCCTGTGCAGTCACATCCCCCAACACTGTGCCAGGGCTCACCGCAGGTAGCCAGCCTCTGCCTGAAGGCCTCCACCTCCAAGGAAGCCCTTCCATTTTTGGAAAGTGCTGATTTGAAGGATATTTTTTCCTTAAATCTATCTCTTTTAAACTTTTACTCATCGCTTCTAGTTTTGTTCTTTGGAGCTGAGGAAAACATACCTCATTTCTCTTCCGGTAAGAGCTTTTCAAATATTTGAAGGTGGTTATCATGGCTTAGTGCAGGGGTGGGGAACTTCGGCCTCAAGGCCACATGTGGCCTTCTAGGTCCCCAAGTTTGGCGCTTTGGCCCTGAACTTGTTCTGTGAACTTTGGATTCAGTGAAAGGGCTGCACTTGAGGCCTCAGGTCCCCCCCCCCCCCCCCCCCAGCCTAGAGTCTACAGACTCAGTATCTCCAGTAAATGTCCCCACACTGATCGCAGCCCTCAGGTGTGGTTGGACCGGTGAATATAGTCCTACCAGAGTTCAGAAGGACTCTCTCTCCCCTCCTTCATGCCAGATCATCTTGTCCCACTATGTCTGAGGTGCTCTGTTGGGGGCTGGGCATAAACAACCCCTGTCTTCCAAAGCTTGACGTTCTGCTTGGAAGAGCTTCTGAGGTCTCTTGCCAGTCTAAGGCTACGATTGGACACAAATATAAATGGATATGAGCTCAGAGAGTCGTAGACTCAGAGATGGAGGGACTGGAGAGGCCGTCTTACTAGATTCAGGCCAACGTCTCAGCCTTTTGAAACCTTTCTGGATTCCTCTTCTCTTATTCTTGCTGTGAGACATCCTCTCCCCCTCCACCCACCATCACCGTGCTTTCTGTGACTTGGAAATTTGATGAGTGTGCCCCAGAGAGTGAGCGGCAGGGAGCTAAGTGGAGATTTTGGAGGGACACCCAGAGCCCTCCCTCCCAACTGATACCAAATGTTGGGCCTGGTCCCTGAGCCTACCCCAAACCCAGCTTGCTGCCATCTTTTCTCTCTGCCATTTTGTTTACAAGAATAACACGAGAGACTGTCAGATGCTTTGCTGAAAGCCAAAATTCCCAATTGACTAGTCTAATAAGCTTTTGAAAAATAGGCTTGAAGAGTCTCTGACATGATTCATCTTTGCTGAAGTCGGGCTGCTTTCACTGATCAGCATCTCATGTCATCAATCTGAGCTCACCCTCCACTTGAAGGGACCCATTGACACCCATGCCACTTTCCCTCCTTCCCCCAATTGCAGGATGCCATGTACTGTGCTAGGGACTTTTGTACAGGGTAACTCTACAAGAGACCTTCAAAAGTGACCACTTAGTGTTCAGGACAACCTTTTGGGACCAGCTGTTCTCTCTCATCGTCTCTGTGTGACTGGCCTTCCTTCTCTGAGTACCCTTCCCCCATCCCTCCAACCCCAGCTGTCCAGAATCCATCCAGAACGTCTGAGAGGTGAAAAGGCCTACTGCCAAGATTCTGCTCTTTCCCTGTCCCTTCCCCCCTCACCTCCTCCCTCCTCCGCAGACCACCAGAGAACCACTCTGGGCTGCTTTATTGCTCAAATAGCTTGAATTAGATTGGGATCATTAATTGCGGGCCTTCAGTGATGGTGCAGCCTCTGAAGGTGAGATGTAACAAAGTATGAATTGATTCTCTACCACTTGTGCTAATTTTGGACCGACAGTTAACACCAAGAAAACAGGTTCTCCACCAGCCAGCACACCACCATCCATATGTGGAACCATTGGTTACAGTAAATGGAGAAATGTTGAATGCTGTCGATAAGTTCACTTATCTTGGCAGTAGACTTTCCAGGGATGTCCACATAGATGATAAGGTTGGTGAATGTATTGCCAGAGCTAGTTCAATGTTTGGGAGGCTCTGAAGGAAAGTGTGGGACAGAAGAGGTATTAGACTGACTACCAGACTGAAGGTCTACAGAGCCACTGTGCTGACCTCCTTGTTGTATGCCTGTGAAACCTGGACAATCTACTAGCACCGTGCCCGGAAATGGAATCGCTTCCATTTGGATTGTCTTAGGAAGATTCTGAAGATCACCTGGCAGGATAAAGTACCAGGCACTGAGGTTTTTTCTCGAGCTAAACTGCCGAGCATTCCAACTCTTCTGCAGAGAGCACAGCTCCAGTGGGCTGGCCACGTTGTTCAAACGCAAAATGTATGCTTGCCTAAAAGACTGTTTTACAGAGAACTCACATGAGGCAAGTACTCATTTGGTGGTCAGAAGAAGCGATACATGGACATTCTCAAGGTCTCTCTGAAGAACTCTGGAGTCGATCATGTGACCTGGTAGACATTGGCACAGGACCGCTCAGCATGGGGTGCCCTCATCAGAGAAGGTGCTGTGTGCTATGAGCAAAGCAGGATTGCAGTAGCTCAAAAGAAATGTGAGATGCTCAAATTTAGAGCCATCTCCACCCCAAACGTTCACAGAGTATTCACGTACGACCTGTGGTAGAACCTCTGAGCTCGACGTCATCTTGGTGATGTCTTCGAGCATGACGGACAACAGCTAGCCAGTCATCCTTCTGGTGAGCTGCCATCTTCCCTGTTGCTGTGTCTTAAGGTCCCCTGGGCCTTGCCACCTGTCCTGCACCCAGCCTCGCCTCTCCTCTTATCCTTGGGAGCAGGAGCCATCTTGCTTTTTGTCCTTTCATACTCATTGCCTGGTGTGCTTAATAAATACTTTCCCCTTCATTCCAGCTGCTGCTTGGGCAGCATGTGGTAGCTGACTCCTGTTGCCCTTTGGCTCTCTAGGCCCCCAGAGGTGATTTTAGCTAAATCTTTAATCTGCTAACGCCTTAGGGCTGACTCTCAGATAAGCCTGTTCCGCCTTCTTCCTCTGGCTCCCAAGGGACTGAAGGTATTGAAAGTGGAATGGGGCCATGGGTGCAGTGGGCAGATTACTGGACTTGGAGTCATGACGACATGGATTCCGGTCCTGCTTTTAATGCCCCTTGTCTGTGTGAACACATGCAAGCCAGTCCCACCAGGGGAGCCCCTGTTTCCTCATCTCTGCAGTCTCGGTAATGTCCGTAAGGCACTTTGCAAAGCCTTCATGTGCGGGTGGACGTGGGGTGTCCTGCTCTTTGCTGTAAGTGATGGGGTGGGAGCAGGGCTGACGGCAGGGGTCAGTGTGCCCACCTTCGGAACTTCCTGGACTGTTCGGTCTGAGCAGAGGTCGAGGAGGGAGGATGAAGGAAGCGGGGTGGCCCTGCTCCCCAGGGAAGGAATTGTGCTGACCCGAGGAGGGAGGGGCGGGGCCCCAGGGAGGGGTGGTCTCCTGCCAGGAGAAACGCTCACAACCTCGAGGTTGCTGTAGATGTCTCCCAGTGTCCCCTGTGTGCAGCTGGCCGTGTCCATGTTAGGTGTGCTAATAAATCCAGCCCATGTCTCCTTGTTTCAGTATCAGAACCAGCTCTTCCAGCCAGCTGAAGATGTGGAAGGGAAAGCCGAAATCATCATCAAGGTAAGGCCAGCACCCTCCTGTGGGTGGGCCTGTGGGCGGTGGCAGCTCCTCAGGACAAATCCTTTGCTTCACTTGCCCTTATGAGCCTGTTGTGTTGGGGTTTTCTTGGCAAAGATACTGGAGTGGTCTGCCATTCCCTTCTCCAGCTCATTGGGTGAAGTGGCTTGCCCAAGGTCACACAGCTAATAAGTGTCTGAGGCTGGATTTGAACTCAAGTCTTCCTCGCTCCAGTCCTTGCCTTCTTATCCACTGTACGAATTGACTGTCCTTCCCATCTGTAAATCCTCCTGGGGATTTTCCCCAGAGCGAAGGAGGCCTTCCTCTAAGCCTTTGGATTTTTTTGGTGGGGGGAGACAGGACTACAGCCCCTTCTGGTCACCAGTGTCCTTGTTGGGGCAATACCGGGCACAGCTCATGCACACCCACCCTTTTCACTTGGGCAAGCACTCCTCCCTGTCCTCCAGAAGCTCACACTCGCCTGGGGAAGTGCAGGGTTGGGTGACACCAACAGCTGGGGGTCTGGGAAGGCTTCCCTATGTGGTGCCTGGAGATTGTGAGAAGCAGAGGGAGGGTCTGGGTGGTGCACAAAGATGTCCTCAGGGGCAGGAGGTAGCCTCAGGGGGGAGGGGCAGGCCACTGGAAAAAGGCCCAGAAAGTAATCAGACATGGAATGCGAAGGGCTTTTAGAGCCCTGGAAGGTCCTGTGCGCAGGGGCCAGGCTGAGACCTGGGTTGAGATCTGGGCCTTCTCTCAGGCAGCTCCCAGAGGAAGGGGAACCCAGAACCAGGAGGTGAGGGAGGGGCATGGAGTTTGTGGTTTCACCCTAGAAGTGATGATGGTGCAGCAGGGAAGTGACTGTCATGCGTGTGTTCTAGGAAGATTGTTTATTGAGGAGACCAATGAGGAGGCGAGGGTGAGGTGAGGAAAGCAGGACCTGAGGTGATGCTGTAGGAGAGGTGAGACTGGAACATGCAGGCTGACAAGGGGGGAGTCTGAACACGCAGGAGGCGCCTGGCTCACAAGGAGGGGGAGCCTTTGGAGCTCGGAGCTCGGAGGGGGCTCCATGACGGGCGGTGTCCATGAGCGCTGCCTCTGGCCTTCAGTTGTGCGCCAACAGATAGCGCTTGTGCCCAGCTTTTGTGTCAGTGGTGATTCCTCTTGCCTCCCCAGTTCTCATTTACTGGTGTATAGGGGAGCTCAGAGTTTCTCATCGTCTTGATTGGTTTCTCACTCATTCTCTGGGGTTGAGTCAAATATCAGCCATTGACAGGGTGATTTTGTCTCCTTTTTGCACGTGCTCCCACCCTTCATTTATCTCATCTTATTGCCTTTTTTGTTGTTGTTCACTCGTGTCTAACCCTCCTCAACCCCATTTGGGGTTTTCTTGGCGGAGACGCTGGAGTGGTTTGCCGTTTCCTTTTCCAGCTCATTTTACAGATGAGGAGACTGAGGCCAGCAGGGTGAAGCGCCTTGCCCTCTGAGATCACCTCCAGTTTACCCTGTATGGATATTCACGTGTCATGTCCCCCAGTGAGACTGTGAGCTCCTCGGGCTGAGGCAGTCCTTTCCTCGCCTCTCTTTGTCTGCCCAGGGCTTAGCCCAGTGCCTGGCACACAGTAGGGGCTTAATCAGCACCTGTCGATCACATATGGCTGAGACACCGACTCCTCTGACGCTGCTTGGTAGCTCACATAGGCCCCAGGCCTCACCCGCACGGACTTCCTCGCTGGTCTCAGCCCATCCTGACGGCCCTGCTGCCTTTGAATCCCTCAGCCTCTTGTGTGGGACCAGCTCCCCGGCGGGAGCCTGACTCTGGAGACCCTAGGGGTGGGAGGGCCTTTGGTGCAGAGTCATCCCTGACATTTCTGTGCTGCCTTCACAGCAGCGAGATCCTTCTGCCCACTTTAATGATGCACTTTGCTGCAGTAGGATTGCTTTTCTCAGCACATTTCTAGGTTTGGAGTCAGGATGTCAGTGTGTGAAGGATGAGTGAGGTGCACCTGGGGCCTGGTAGCTGGAAAGGAGAAGAAGCTCTTTAAGTTCAGTTTTGGTTTGTTCACACCTGGGGGAGTGAGAGAGAAGGAGGGAGGAGAGAGAGAAAGAGGAGGGAGGAGAGAGAGAA